TTTGCGGCGGTTTTGCGGCAACCCGCGCCATCCGCGTATTTCGCAGCGTGATTTTTTTTAGTCACAGCTGCAAACTCTAATATTTTGCAAATGTATGCATTTGACAATTAGATGCGCAAGAAAAAGAATGTGACACATGATATTCTTATTACTAATGAGCACGTACACTGTGTCCCCGCGATAAGATTTTGCAAGCGTTTGCGTGTTATGTATCATGAATAATATGTTATGTAAAGAACGGTAAAAAAACGGAAAAGAAACGGTAATGAAACGATAACGGCTACCAAAAATCGTAAAAACGATTACCGAAACGGTATATTCCAATTATTTCGCGGCGTAAATTTTTTATAGTCGCAGCTGCAAACTCTAAGAATTTGCAACTCGTATTAAATATCACTGCGCGACTACATATTGCAAACGTATGCACTTGACAGTTAGATGCGCAAGAAGAAGAATGTGACACATGATATTCTTATTACTAATGAGCACGTACACTGCACTCCACGACAAGATTTTGCAAGCGTTTGCGTGTTATGTATCATGGATAATATGTTATGTAAAAAACGGTAAAGAACGGCAATGAAACGGTAATAAAACGGTAATAAAACGGTAAAAAAAACGGTAAAGAACGGGAATGAAACGGTAAAGAACGACAATAAAACGGTAAAGAAACGGTAAAAAACGATAAAAATCGGTAAAAAACGGTAAAGAACGGGAATGAAACGGTAAAGAACGACAATAAAACGGTAAAGAAACGGTAAAAAACGATAAAAATCGGTAAAAAACGGTAAAGAACGGGAATGAAACGGTAAAGAACGACAATAAAACGGTAATAAAGCGGTAAAGAAACGGTAAAAAACGATAAAAATCGGTAAAAAAACGATAAAGAACGGGAATGAAACGGTAAAGAAACGGTAAAGAGCGGCAATGAAACGGTAATAAAACGGTAAAAAAAACGGTAAAGAACGGTAAAAAAACGGTAAAAAAACGGTGAAGAACGGGAATGAAACGGTAAAGAAATGGTAAGGAACGGCAATAAAACAGTAATAAAACGGTAAAGAAACGGTAAAAAACGGTAAAAAAAATAGTAATGAAACAGTAAAGAAACGGTAAAAAAAGTTAAAGAATGGGAATGAAACAGTAAAGAACGGTAAAAAACGGAAAAGAAACGGTAATGAAACGATAACGGCTACCAAAAATCATGAAAACGATTACCGAAACGGTGTATTTTAATATTTATATTAAAAGTGCAGTCCAAAACTATTCATGTAAGATCTCTCTCTTATGCGTCACAATGTAGCATTTTAGTGCTGTCGCATCGATTTGTGGTTGACAATAAGATGAATTTAAGATGTGCAGAAAAATGTGAAACCAGATACTATCATGAAGATCATAGTGGTATGCATATTTTGCACGTTTTGAAACATATAAAATCATGAGTATTACATCAGCGCATAGTTTAGTCGAGACCCAAGCAGCAACAGATACGGGATACAAGCAACAAATTGAACGGCTAAAATGGAGGAAAAATCAAGAAAAATATCGATGGTGCAGTTTTTGCGTGACAGAGAACTCGGTTTGCGGGGAATAAACAAACGCGGTGTGAAAGAAAATGTTAAAGTTATCAGGTTTTACTCTCAAAAGTGTTGACCCTATGACTTAGTGCAGGAGCACATCAATCAGATAGTGGAAGATGCACGTAGGGTCACGACTGAGAATGCAAGCGAAATAAACACTAAATTGAATGAGCTTATAATGCATCCAGACATCAGAGTGCTGAATAATTTTAACCTTCAAAATTTCTATATAAAATTTCCGGCAGGTAGTGGCAAGTTTACACGTATAGTGTTGTTTCATGACATACATTTATATGATAATTTGTGGAATGCTGATATGCCAATTTTAATGATAGAGCGACACGATAAACGCGAACTTTGTATGTGCTATCGGGACAGTTTACAGTGGCCAAAAATAGATGAAATCAGTTGGGACGATGAATCTGTGCTTTACACCGATGAAATACGGCGATGTCAACGGTGTCCGTATAGTGAGTCGAATCTGATCTACATGTCCGCACATTAATTGACTGATTGAACGATAAATTGAGAAATTCTCAGTGCAATCTTAAGCATCACAATGCAATATTTTTTGTGCTGATACATCAATATGTGGATGTGGTTGACTGCATGTGCAACATATGATGTTACTATTAAGGAGCACGTTAGGTTGTGCTGATTTTGCACATTTATAAGAACAACCCTCTCCTAACGAGACATGTATGTTAGAAAGAGATAGCGATGGACCATATAAAAGTCACCCAGGAGTCATCGGCAAATAGTCCAAGTCAAACAGACAGAAATACAAAAATGTTATACAATATTGAATTTCGAAGGCCCACATTTGGCCCACATTTGAGGAGGAGGAGATTTTAATACAGAGCCCTCCACGTAAGTTTTTAAAAAATTGATCGTATAATAATCCAGGTTTTTTAATTTTTAAATAATAATTAATCCAATTTTAGCTACCGAGGAATAGGAGGAGGAGATGGAGGAGGAGGAGATGGAGGCTGAGATGGAGGAGTCTGATGAAGAGGAGGAAATAGACGTACAGTCGGCCATAGGTGAGAGAGCAGACATTTTTTATAATTTGCCATCAAATTTTCGATTTTCCTATATAGAAAAACGTTAAAATTAATCTTTAAACTTGATTTCAAAAACATATAGAAGTCATCGAAATCGCTGACTCTGAGGAGCAGGAGGAGAAGGAGGATGAGGAGAAGGAGGAAGAGGAAAAGGAGGAGGAGGATGACGACATCGATGAAAAGGAGGACGATAATATTGAACTCATTGACATCGCCGACAGCAAAGAGGATAATATAGAACTCATTGACATTGCCGACAGCAAAGAGGATAATATAGAACTCATTGACGTCGCCGACAGCGAAGTGGATGATATAATAAATTAAACATTATTATTATTATTATATATTATAAGATATAGAAAACATTATAATAAACAGTAATTTTTTACAATACATTATCCTTGTGCATCCACGAGTTGCATGATTTATCGAATCCCAACCATTTCGCATAAACCTTATTGCCTTTTCTGCACAACATTTTCTCCACCAAGTACACGTTTGGATTGGCAACACGATGCAGTCCGTATTCGTAGAAACAGGCTGTCCGCAAGAATCTTCGAGCAGATAGGTCACAGGATTGGTCGCCTGCACCTTGACGATCTTAAACACCTCACAAGTAACACTAGGGAAATGATAATCACCGATTTTCCTGAAACTGCGCATACAAGTAGTTCTTCAAAAACTATTAGACACGTATTTTTTTGTTTTTCCCCAAAAACGAATTTTGGGGTAGAAATCGCCCCTACAAATTTTGGTGGGGGGCAGTAAGAGGTACTTTACAAACTGTTTGTAGGATTCGTATGAAATTTGGTATCTAGGGCTTTTTGGCCTCGATGATTTCGAATTTGAAGTCAGTTTTTGAAAATTCAAAATGGCGGATCCAATATGGCGGACGGATTTTCATTTATTTAAGGATTTCTATGAAACATGGTATCTAGGGGTTTTTGGCCTTGCTGATTACGAATCTAAAGTCCGTTTTCAAAAATTCAAAATGGCGGATCCAATATGGCAGACGGATTTTAATTTTATTAAGGATTTCTATGAAACATGGTATGTAGAGGTTTTTGGCCTCGCTGATTACGAATCTGAAGTCAGTTTTTGAAAATTCAAAATGGCGGATCCAATATGGCGAACAGATTTTTAAACAGAACTAGATTTTTATGAAACTTGGAATTTTCGATCTTCTTCAGTCGCTGAATAAGAATCAGAAATTCTTCTTTGAACTACATTCAGCGTTACTCATTGTCAGGAAGAACGCCGTGGACTTCTTTGTAATAAGAGAAAAATAATTTTTGAGTTTATCGACATTTTCGAAAATATTGGTTTTCCCTTTTGAAGATTGAGGGCGTCAGTTATACATTAAACTTACCTGGTATTGAATTTTAAAAAGCTCTTGATATTCTATGAATAAAAGAAAATTAAAACCAATACTTACCTGCTACTACAGTCTAATTGTAACTTCTTTAAATATATTATAAAGATTAAAAAACATGCATAAGACAGGAGGCGTATACTTATTACATGTATGTGAGCAGATATAGCTGATGAACTGACTGACATCTACAAATTCTGTATAAGATTGATTTTTAAACTTACCTGCGAGTTTATATGGTTCTTTTCATTATTAGGAGTAGGTATACAAGGGGGGGTTCTAACTCAGGTCCTCTGAGGGGGGGTGCGGGGCGAGGGGAACTGAGGGCGCGGGGGCTGACGTCACGCGGGAGAGGGGACTTACCGACATTTCTTTTTTACCGACATATTACCGGTATTTTTACCAACATATTTATTTTTTACCAACGTATATATATTTTTACCAACATATTTATATTTACCAACATATTTTTTTACCGACATATTATTACCGACATAATTACCGACATAACGCAGCGGTTCGCGAGTGCGCCGCCCCACCCACTCGCCTTTCCCCCTCTCCGGCCACCGGCGCGCCTAGAATATTCTCGAATATTCCAGAAAGATCTTTTGAGGAGAACATTCGGTCTCGAAAAGAATTTTATCTAATGCATAGAGATACTTTGATGGGTAGAGACATCCTTTTAGTTTTTATCTTCAACAGCCCCTCCCGAAAAAAGA